GACACCACACCACACGACCACACCGACACCACACCACACGACCACACCACACGACACCACACCACACGACCACACCGACACCACACGACACCACACCTCACGACCACACCGACACCACACCACACGACCACACCGACACCACACCTGTCTCTTATACACATCTAGATGTGTATAAGAGACAGGATCAGGATTGAGGAAATTTCACACGATTAACAAATTGAAGAGAACAAGAATCCCTTCCCAGGGGCCCCGAGTGGTGAGCTCGGGGCCCTCTCGTTCCCCCGATATTCGTCTTCAAACATGACTCCAAAGAGAAATTTTGCTCTCACCGTACTACGGGTCCGAATTTGAGATTATTGGCATTTTCGAGCTCTTTTATCTCAACAACCAACAGGATTGAAGAAAATTTACACGAATAACAAATTGAAGAAAATTCAAGTTTCCTTCCATTGGCTTCAAGTGGTGATTTCTGGGCTCCCTCGTACATCCAATATTCGTCGTTAAACACGACTCCAAATCAAATGTTTTGACCAAGCCGTACTATGGGTCCGAATTTGAGATTATTGGCATTTTCAAGCTCTTTGATCTCGACAACGACCAGGATTGAAGAAAATTTACACGAATAACCAATTGAAGAGAACAACAATCCCTTCTCAGGGGCTCCAAGTGGAGACCTCGGGGCCATCTCGTTTCACCGATATTGGCTGTCAAAGAATACTGCAAATTCAATTTCTCCTCGAACCATGGCGCCTTCACCCCATGACCCCAATGACCCCAATGAGTCCAATGGCCTCAGTGACCACAATGACCCGATTGACCCCATTGACCTCATTGACCCCATTGACGGATGTTTGGGGCCGGAGTTCGCATTTCCAACACGATTTCTGAGTGTTGGAAATGCGAACTCCGGCCCCAAACATTCACACAACAATGAATAAGAGAAAATAGGTAAAAAACATGCAATGTGTGATAAACATATCTTCCTAGGGTTGGGTTCAAGCAAGGAACAAGTTCATTAAGTGACACTCACATCAGTTAGGTTATTATAGGTTAGGTAAGGATAGATTAGGTTAGGTTAGGTTAGGTAAGGTTAGGTTAGGTTAGGTTAGGTTAGGATAGGTTAGGTTAGGTTAGGTTAGGATAGGTTAGGTTAGGAATAGGTTAGGAAGAAGTTAGGTTAAAGGTAAAAAGGTTGTCGTAAAGCGCTTTTACACGAGAATAGAGAAGAATATGATCATGACGGGGGGTTGTTGAGTTGAAATGTCATGTTATGAGAGATATGTAATGCCCCTTGTGTCGATAAGATTTTCGCTTTGGCGTTTATGGTAAGGGCTGTCTGGTTCGGCAGGAGCGGCTCACTTTCTGTGTGCCTACAGCCAGCGAAGCGGACGCTAAACTTATACTCTCCACTTTTGATTCGGCAGGAGCGGCTCACTTTCTGTGTGCCTACAGCCAGCGAAGCGGACGCTAAACTTATACTCTCCACTTTTGATATGCTGCTGCTGTATAATCACGTACAGGGGGGTTTGAGGTCAAAGTTTTCACTCGAGCCGTTTTTCCCAGGAGCTCAAACGTTAGAATCTCATGAAAATTGGCACAGAGACGTACGCATATTTTTTCTACCAAACCTTCTTGTCGGATTTCCGAAATTCCCACTCCTTCCCCCCCAAAATCCCCAAAAAAGGGGAAAATTTGGTCAAAAAATTACCTAAAATGAGATTTTTGAAACGATCATAGCTCGAAAAGTTGCAAACTCAGAGCAATGCGATTCATTTCAAACGAAAGGTAAAGGATTGGAATGTGTTTGGGATTTCGAACGTTTTTCTGTCGGGTCAAAACTTCATCCCTAAATTGGGGGTCAAAGTTGACCCTGAAAAAATTGTTTTCGGTCATTTTTCGGTGGTTTTTCAACTCTCGCG